CCCTCACGTGTGCACACACGCACGCGCGGCAGGGCCCCCGCTCCTCCAGCTGGCACACAGCGAGCATTTCCCTGCCACCAGACACGTGTGCACACGCACACACGCACGTGCACCCTCACGTGTGCACACACGCACACGCGGCAGGGCCCCCGCTCCTCCAGCTGGCACACAGCGAGCATTTCCCTGCCACCAGACACGTGTGCACACGCACACACGCATGTGCACCCTCACGTGTGCACACACGCACGCGCGGCAGGGCCCCTGCTCCTCCAGCTGGCACACAGCGAGCATTTCCCTGCCGTCCAGCGTGGCTCGTCTGCTCCAGAGGCGGACTGACACACAACAGCCACGGCCCAGGCCCAGGGCTGGTCTTGACATTGCTGAAGGGTGCGTCGGAAAAGCCCAGGGGACAGAGACCACCTGCGGGTCACAAAGCCTGGAACCTCTGCTGCAGCCTTCACGGAAGACTCCCAGCGACCCGCCAGTTAGGGTGCGGCCCAGGACACCCACAAGGAGGGGACTGCACACGGGCTGACAACTACCAAGGGCTATAAAGTGACAGTGAGAGGCGTGCTGGCAGCCAGGCCACCTCGCCCCCTCGGACACTGGGAGACCGCGCTCCGCGCCCTGCTCTCCTTCAGGGTAACCTGCTAGCAGGCAGCCTCGAGGTGGGAGCACTGTCTTGTTCTAGGTGGAAGGTTGTGATAAACATGGGATCAAGTTACATCTTGTCTTTTAACAACTGCTCGCTCCAGGGTTAAGACAACCAAATGCAGAGACACCACTTCCTCAAGAGACTTCAAGGAGAACAAGAAACACAACATGCCAGAACCCAGCACGTTCTGGGGGAAAGACCACAGAGCAGGCGGCGCTGGGGTTACAAGGCAGACCGGGCGGCCCGGTCTCAGGGCAGGACTTACACGCTGCTGTCGGTGAGGGACAGGGTGTCAGCGTCACTTGACAGGCTCTGCTGCTCACTGTCATTGGCGCTGGTGGCTGGGGCCAGGGCGTAGCCGGAGTTGACATAGTAGGGGTTGACTGGTTCCCGCCAGGATCCATGCCTGCAAACAAGAGGGCGCCTCAGCCAGTGGCCACGGGTGCCACGTTGTCTTAAGTGCTGCTGGAGTTTTAAGATCTTAACAGAAGAACTGAAAATACCAAGACTGCAGCAAAAAGGTGGTGCAGAAGGGACAAGCTCCATGGCCCATGCCCTGCCCGCCTATCCTTCCAGAAGGTTGCTCTGCCGTGACACAGACGCATCAGCCGAGTTCTGCACCTAGACAGCACGCACCCCATCTCCATCCACAAAGGAAGCGTGCCCTCCACGCAGCACTGTCTCTGGCTCTCCAAGCACCTGAGGGCACCACCCGCAGTCGCCCCCTGAGCCTGAGGGCGGCCACAGACAGACCTGGGCTGGGCCACGGCAAAGGCACACAGCCTCCAGTCACCCCTCCCAGGGGCAGCAGCCGCACGCACTCAGAGGGGACCCACCTCCACTTCTGCCCCTTGAGTGGCCAGACGACGACACCAGGCCCTAAGCTGTGAGGTCATGGTCACGGTCACACTGGCAGCCTCTGGGGTCTTCTGGTCACTTTCATTTCCTTTCTGTGTATCTATCTGTACCTTTGGCCCACTTCCAGCGAGCTGCTAACGGCGCTCTCAGTGTTTACAGGAAGTCCAGCTTCCCCACTGCTGATCTCTGTCAGTGTCTTCTGCTAAGACATCACTGTTTCCAACTTGGTTTATGGGGACTGGGATCAAGGAACGTCTTTCATTCCTACAAAGCCAGAATGCCTAGTCTTTTCCTTCACAGCTTTTCTCAATCTTACACGGGCAGTAAAAGAACCTTCTGGATGCCGCTTTCAGCCCCACAGGAAGCAGGCCGCTGTGTATTTAACATGACCCCAGCCCGGGTGCGGGAGGCTCTCCAAGGTTGAGTCCTGGTGACCCCCCGCATGTACACTCAGGTGGTGTACCAGCCAACAACGGCCAGAGACAGGTCCAGTGCCAACGCAGGCCCCGCCCACATGCAGGGCACCGCCCACCTGCAGGGTGCGAGAGGACGGGGCCCGGGCTGGCCAGCCCCACCCCACATGCCCCAAACACGGGCCACACACCTCAGCAGAACTCTCGTGCTGTGGGGCAGCGTCGTCCTCCCGGCTGCACCTCGGAGCTCTGCTCCAGACAGTGTCACTCCAGCGTGTCACAGGAAGTCAGACTGCACTAGATGCAGCGTGAGCCTGGGGGTGACGCACGGCCGTGACTAGACGTCACGTCAGCCCACCCGGGCAGCGTGAGCCTGGGGGTGACGCACGGCCGTGACTAGACGGGCACTTGTTCCTGCAGCTCAGTGAGAGCTGGTACTGCCAGGTCCAGCTGGCGGAGGGCTCTGTGTGAACAGGGACCACCCTTTCTGGGACAGCCCTCAGTGCATGTGCCAACATATGAATGGACACGCACCAAGGACAGATAAGCTCCCGTAAGAGCAAGGGGCCATTCCAGAAGCTACTGTGACAACACCAGGCCGGCTCTCTGGCCAACAGCAGCTGACCCCGCAGAGCCTGGCCCTCGTGCACGTGAGAACACTTGTGCACACCTGCCACCTGCCCTGAGGATGCCGAGGCTGATCCTGCCCACATCTTGGGTGTGTCAGGGAGAATCGAAAGGCAGGCAGAGCAGGGTGTTCAGGTCCCCACAACCTGCCCGGGTGGCGGTCCCCGACCTGCGCGGGTGAAGCTCCCTGCAGGGTGAGGTAATAAGGTTCGGAACCGTCTCTTCCCCGCTCAGCAGGCTTCTCTACCCCGGCCTTGCACACAGATCTGCCTTGTGTTCTGGACCCTATCACTGCAACTTGCAGCGCGGCCTCCTCATGGGCCTCCGGGCCAGCATGCACCCCGCGCTTGCTCCCCCACAAGCAGACACCCAGGGGGCTCACCAGCCCCCAAGGAGACGCACCAAGCAGGCTCTTCCTCAAAGCCACCACCACGGTGAAGGCGTGAAAAGGCAACTCCCAGCCACGCAGGTCACTCGGGAGGGACCTGCAGAGTCGGCACCTGTGCCCTCTGCCAGGGGGTCTCCCCGAGATCTGTGACTCCCCACGCCGGACGTGGGCCTGAGCTGTCAGTAACTCAGACGCCCTCAAGAGGCTCAGTGACACCACCCCACCGGCCCCTCAGGAGCCGTCCGCCGTGCTGAGCCGCGGGAGCCAAGCGGCAGCTATCAGCCAACTTCCACCTGGGAAGCTGGCCCGGCCAGGCTCTCACTGAGCACCAGGGCTTTTCCCTCGAGGGGACTCGGCAGTCACATTCCCACTGGCCCTCGTTAGTTCCCGACCGTCAGACGGGTCTCGAGACGGCTCTGCGCTAGGCAGGGCTGGGCCAGACGCCTCGTGACACCTGCACCATGGCGTCTCGAGGGCAAGCAGCAGCATCGCACTCCCCAGGGCACAAGTGTCAAGGGCTCACTTTGAAGAGTGCCTGGCGACAGGTGGCTGTTAAAGGAGCCTCGCTCCGCCGACTGAGCTTGAGATGCCCACCTGACGAGAAAGCCACGCCACATGGCCTGCACATTTCTGAGCTAACAGGACACCTGGCACAGAGCGGGACAAAGCAGCCACACCTTGGCCCTCACACGGACGTGCTCAGAAGCGGAAGACCTCCCGCACAGCTCCTCCAAGGTAACAGCGGGAGTGTAACGTCCGTCTGCTAGGCGGCCTGTCACAGCCACCACTGCAGGGTCTCCAACCAGACCAGCCAGGGCCCTGCTCAGAGCTGCCGTTGCACACCTGGGGTTCCCGAGGCCACAGTCATGAGCCCCAAGACGGACGGGACCATCTGCTACCTCAGGCTGCGGTTCGTATGTACAAGCAGCTCCACACCGCACCTGGTGGTGTCTGGCACCTGTGACCGCGTGCAGCAAATGACAGGCACTTGGTGCTCTCCCCCTAGACCACGGCTCAGCCAGTGCGGGCAGGCAGGTGCTCCAGCACAGCCCGGACGCCGTGACAGACCTCCAACGCCCGGCAGTCCGGCACAGTCCCCTCAGAGAGAAAACACGCTAGCTTTTCAAACAGCAAATGTAAGACTGCACGGGGTAGCACATCAGACAGAGGCAAAGAGCCACACGGTCACGCAGCACCCTCCCCGGAGCGGGTGACAGGGAAGGTCCTCAAGCCACCAGCCAACATCACACCCAGTGGAGAAAGACCGAGCCCTTGAAACCGGAGCAAGACGAGGTGCCCCTCCCCTTTCTATTCCACACTGTATCCCAAGTCCTTGCCACAGCAACTAGACAAGAAACAAAGGGATGCAAACTAGAAAAGCAGCAGTAAACTCATCCCCGTTCATGGATGATAGCCCTCTACCTAGAAGACCCCTAAGCCCACAAGAAAACGTCTAAAGCTAACACAGGAATTTAGCAAAGCTGCAGGGCACAGGTCAACAAACAAAACTGAGCTGGGTTTCCATACACCAGCAATGAGAAACCTGAAAGGGAAAGCAGAGAAAAAATCTGTAACAACATCTGAGAAAACAAGGTGCCCACAAATAGATCTAACTAGGGACGTGAAGGACTTACTCAACAAACACTGCCGGAAGAGCCGGAAGAAGGCTTAAATGAAGGGAATGAAGCCCCGTGTTCATGGATTTACTGTTAGGATGTCAAAGTGACCACAGAATCAACTCAATCGCCATCAGAATTCCAACAGCTTTCTTAACAGCTCTATAGAAGCTAAAAAGGTGCTGAAAGAGAACAACGGAGGAGGACTCCCACTTGAACTGCCTGAGACCACCTGCCGTGACAGGGAAGGACGGAGAGTCCAGCAACGAGCCCACCCGTTTGTGGCCACCTGGTTTTTGACAAAGGTGCTGAATCCATTTGATGGGAAAAGAAGCATCCTTTCAGTCTACAGTACTGGGAAGACCAGGTTCTCACATGGATACACAAAACAGGACCCTTGACTCACACCACAGACAAAAACAAACACAACACGAAGTAAGGACCTAAACGTGCAAACTGAAAGCCTTCGAAGAACCAGCAGGGGCAATGCTGTCAGGCTCAGCTTTCAACGATGGGTTATCTAATGTAGCAGCAAAAGCGCAAACAGGAAAAGACAAAATAATAAAACTCACTGCTGTCAAGTCAGATCTGACTCACAGTGACCCCTCCTCGGGTTTCTGAGGAGTTATCACTACGGAAGTAGACTGCCCCATCTTCCTTCCGAGAAGTGGCTGGTGGGCTTGAACCTCCAACCTTCTGGTTAGTAGTCAAATGCCTTAGGCACTGCACCACCAAAGTTCCCAAATAAATAAGTAGGGCCTCATAAAAATTAAAAACTTTCTTTCATCAACTCTTTGCCAAAAAAGTGAAAAGACAAGATACCAACTGGAAGAATATCTTCAGAAATGATATAACCAGTAAGAATCCAATAAAGAAATATACATAAAACTCTGACAATATAACAAATGGACAAACAACCCAGTAATGAAATACACAAAGGACCTGAACAGACATTCTACCTGAGAAGACAACCAAATGGCCACCAAACATGGTTTGTACCAGCCCTCAGAGGTACAAACCAAAACCACAACAATATGCCATTTGACTCTCATCAGGTTAAGGTAAAAATAATAATAACGGTAACAATAAATGTCAGCAAAGATGCGGGGAAACTGGAACCATTATCCATTGCTGGTGGGAGTGCAAAATGGTTCAGCTGCTGTGGAGAGCAGTGTGGCGGTTCTTTAAAAAACTAAAAATGGCACTACCACCTGACCCAGCAATTCCACTCGAAATTGGGTATATGCCCAAAAGACTTGAAAGCAGAGATCAAAAAGAGACCTGTCCACCAATGTTCACGGCAGCACTACTCACGACAGCCAAAAGGTGAGAACCACCAAATGGCCACCAGCAGATGACGGACCGAACAAGCGTGCGCACGCACACGGCACAGGACGCAGTCAGCAGGAAGACGAAGACTCGACCCGCCACGGGTGGAGCTGAAGACACTATGCCGAGTGAAACAAGCCAATCACAAAAGGACGGGCTAAGGCACAGAGACCCA